GTATTCCTCTTGCTTACGCATTATGCAACAAGTGGGAAGTAGGATCCATCTCTTTTGGATTTGATTTATTATTAGGGCTTTTTTGGAGAGTACCAGCCAATGAAAGGCCTGGATTTTTGTGGGGGTTGGGGTGTGCCGTACTTTGTAAGCTATGGATGACAGATTATTGGATGGATTCAGTGAGGAATGCTTGGACGAAACCAAAAAGATACCAAATGGACAGGGGTCCAAACCATCTTGTCCCTTACCCTGCCAAGGAATATACTGGTCAATAAAGGCATCAAGGAGGCCGGGCAGCATCTGTATGTCCTTTTTCCATAGGTCTCTCCTAAAAGTTGGAGTGCACACCAAATTTCCCCTGGAGTACTTCCAAGTTGTATGACTAGTGCATTCTTTCTGGTTGCAATGGAAAACTGGCTGGGAAATTGGGTTTCTAAGGAAATGAAATTTGTATAAAGTGAGGCAATCCTCTTCCATGCCCCTGAATTTGGAACACCTGTGTATGGAAGCCATCATTCCCCTTAACCATATTATCCTTGGATATTACTGCGGCCATAGATGTCCCTTGCGGCTTGCAAACCGCTTCCACCATTTGCAAAGCAGTGTAGTATTGCAATCCTTTTGACTGTGAACCCCAAGGCCACCCTCCTTCTTGGGCTTGCAAACTTGGTCCTAGTTGACTAAGTGGGACTCCCCTGCTCCTGACTATACAAACTATCTCATTTGACGTTCTACTCCTTTGAGAATGGATATTGATAATGACATGTGAAAAAAGGAATATGGTGCATGCTGGCTTTAATGACTGCAATCCTGCGCAACATCCTCTCAATCTTATCTACTTCCACTTCCTAGTTTGCCCCAGGGAGGCCGAATTACTTGTTGTGCAAAGGATCAATTCCGCAACCTAGCCTTCTAGCTAACGCTTGCTCGGCACTCTGGTTCAGGCAGATTGCCATCATTTTTTTTTTTGATAATGTTAACTGTTGTATTGAAAAGTAATAAGTACAAGGGTAAGCAGAGGGCTCCCACAAGATGGGCCTCACGCCAAAAGAATAGACTACCCCAGAGGGGTAGCCTATACAAAAAATGGTTGGGGCCTAAAAGCAAAAAGGCCCGAAGTCGCAAAGGTGGAAAACCAAAAGAGGACCAGTATAACTGTCCATTACAAGTAGGATAGGAAAAGGAAACCAAAAAACAGTCTTTCAAGAGCCTAAGCTGGTGAACAGCGCTCCATCTTTAGCCAGTTGATCCGCTAAGGCATTGGATCCCGCCAAGTATGTGTCCATAAGACGGCCATATCCCTGCAAATGAAATTTATCTCATCATAAATCAAAGCCAAATGGCAGGGGGGAGACACAGAACCCGCAGCCCAAGAGATAATATTTTGTGCGTCTCCCTCCGCTATGAGTGGTTGAGGCCACAAGGGGTCAAAGAGCTTGAGGCCAGTGAGGAGTGCCATTGACTCAGCAAATTGGGAGTCTGCATGGCCAATATTCTTGGAGAAGGAAGCAAGTTGTCTTGGTGATCGCGAAAGACACCACCCACTCTTGCCAGTCTGAGGTTACCCAAGGAGCACCTTTGAAGTTATGCTTTGTGAGGCCCACCAGGGGGGGACCAATTTCTTGATCTGGAGACCAGAGGCGATTGGGAATGAAGAATGTCTTTCCATTGGTGGAGGAAGGTGGTGGTCAAGACTTCTCTGAAGATTTTGGGGTTAGGGGCCTAGAAAACGACCTTCGAGATGATGTTATGAAAAAGGGTTGGAGTTTCGCGCTTGGTCCCTTGGGAGTGATCTCCACAGCTTGTAGGAAAGTCTACAGTGTATAAAAAGGTGGGGGTTTGTCTCTTCCTCACTGGTGCACATCGCGCATCGATTGGGGATAGGAACATCCTTCGTTGGAGTTGGTCCACCGTGAGTGCCTTTTCGAAGCAAGCAATCCAGTTGAAAACTTGCACTTTGGGGGAGCTATGGAGGACCACACCTGAGCTATGATGGATCTTGAGGAATGGGGAAAAGTGGGGGGTAGCAGGAGTTTCTTATAGAAGGAAGCCACCAAAATGGAATTCGAAGGGGAGGGGGTCCTCACCAAACGGTCAGGCCCCGAAATTGCAAGAAAGTTTGAATGAAGCAGCGAAGATAAGGAAATGAAGTCATTGGTTTCATTTCTGTGAGGGGACGTCTGAAGGATGGGTTCCAGACTCTAATGTTTCCCAAGAGAGGCATTCCCTCAGCGATTGAAGAGAACTTGTTGGTAGCAAGACAGAAGAGAGAGGGAAATAGGTTCCTGAGAGGGGTGTGGCCCAACCAAAGATCGGACCAAAAACGAATGCAGAGGCCTTCCCTTGAATGGAAGCGGATGTATTTCTGGAAGAGATTAAGAGAGAACAAGGACTTCCAAGCCCCCGAGGCTCTGCTTGGTGTTCTCCCTTCCGGCAGCCAAGTGTTAGAAGCGATCTTGTATTTGCATCGAATGACTTGGGACCAAAGTAGGTCGTTTTGTGTTGCTAAATGCCACCGCCATTTGTGTAGCAATGCGGTATTCTACTTTCTTAGGATTCAAATTCCGAGTCCACCAAGGTGTTTGGGTTGGTAGACTTTTTCCCAAGAGATTAGATGATATTTTTTGGCATCAGCATCCCCTGTCCATAAGAAGTTTCTCATCAGCTGTTCTAAGCGGTTGACGACCGCCGGCATATGGAACATGGACATCAGGTACACCGGGGTATTGGCCAAGGTTGCCTTTATGAGGGTGGATCTTCCTGTGCAAGAAAGGAACCTCCCTTTCAACACAGCAAGTTGTCTATCGACTTTGTCTATGATGTGGGACCACTGCCTTTTTTTAGGTTTGCCGAGGCTCAGTGGCATGCCAAGGTAGCTGGTAGGAAGATCTTCGACTTTACACTCTCATTCAGGAATGAGCGCTCTTGTTTCTGACGACCCCTATCATAATTGATTTCTCCATATTGACTTTGAGACATTGAGTCTCTTCCTTAATTGCCATCATTTTTTATTTAACCAAGTTTATCTTAAAGCCCATAGAGAGCTCGAAAGTTTCGAAACATATTAAGAAAAGCCATAGTACACTTTTTTGGCACCACAATGCAAAACACAATGATATCGGTTGTATATTGCCAGTGTGAAACCAGCTGGCCTCCATGAGGATTGGAAGCCTTGAAGCATATTGTGGCTGTATATATTGGAGATGGACTGTCTATAGATCTTTCCAATAATGGCAAAGGGATATGGGTGGTGGAGGTTATCCTTCCACATGCCTCATGATGACGTAAAGAAACTTTTAGCGCAGCCATCAACAAGAACCGAGAAGAAAGGAGACCCAATGCAGGGAAATGGCCATTCTGCCAAAATGTATCCGATTCGATCCGTGATCCAGTGGGTCCCACCAGACATGGTCATACGCCTTCTACCATTCTAACTTGAAGATGAGACTTGGAGTCTTGGCTTGGCTTTGAGTGTGGATACACTCTTGTGCTATCAAGGCCCTGTGCAATACTCATCTATCATTTACAAAAGTAACCACATAGCCCAGGACTTGTCTCAGGCGGGTACCTAATACTGTGACAATATCTTCTAAGAAATATTTATTAAGCTGATGAGCCTAAGCTCATAGAGTTCATTGGTCCCTTCAACCTTTGGGTGAGGCCAATGAAACTGGCATTTAAGCCCCTTTCTATCATCTTCCTGTTGTAGAACTCAGAGAATAGGGCAAGGATTTTTGTCTTGAGGGTCCTTGAACTTTTGACATAAGGCCAGTGGAAATCATCCTGGCCTGGAGCTTTGTACTTTCCTAGATCCATGATTGTCGGTCTAATATGTTCTTCTGTAAGAAGACATTCTGACCACTCTGCCCTCTCCCTGGGAATATTAAAGTTCCAATTTGCAACTGAGGCCTTACTTGGGGTTGACTGCAGAAGAATGTGCTGAAGCAACTGATAATCGCAGACTCCACTTGCTGTGGATCATCAATCTCCTGATTCCCTTCTTTAATCTATAGTTGTGTATCACTGCATTAGCTCCTTTACCACAGTTCACGATCTTAGGGAAGAAGCTTGTGTTGTGGTCTCCTTCTGAAGCCTCTTAACTCGTCACATCTGGTGGCAGAAATTTTATTCTTTTTTAAGGGTCCATTGGAAATCAACTAATCCTTGGTTCTCCTTGCCCTTTCATCTGAAGAAAGATCCCTCGGCACCTCACTTAGATCCAGTTCACTTATCTCATAGAGTTGATATTTCCTAGCGTGAAAGTTGCCGAAATGTGTGAACCGCTCCTTTGTCTTCCCTTTAGGAGCTGCAAGTTTCTAGAGAGCCTAAAACCAGCCCAGCTATAAGCTTGGAACATTGACCACCATGGGGGAATCAGGCTGAGAAGTTCCTTCTCCTCCGGGCTCCAGGTACATCATTTCGAACCAGAAGGGTTTCTTTACCACTTTGAATGGGGTAAGGATCTACCACCATGGGAGTATGGTTCAAAGTTGGTTTAGGAAGTGGCCTAGAATGAACACCTGGGGATTCATCTTCCTGTTTATGGGGGATCAAGAACCTATCCAAGTTAGACAATGTGATTTTTATCTGATCACATAACTTGGATATTTCAATTACTCCCTTTCATTTCCATTTTATGTGGAAAGTATACTATCATGCTAAGGATATGGGAAACCCAGCTCTCCTTAGGCTTGTCACCATCCACTGAATTGGAAAGTGATGGAGAGTGGGACCCACATGTAGGTCTCTCCCCTCCCCCTTCCTCTCGCTCTCTCTCTCTCTCTCTCTATATATATATATATATATAACCATTTCATTATGCATACCATGGCTTTCCGCTGATCTTTATATTATGTTATACTTCTCTTATCAATATCCAAAAGCAATGTGGTATTTTGTATTATGAGCATGATCCAAAATCTGAATTCTGGAGGCTTCTTTGATTTCATGTATTCCTTGCATCAAGCCTTTATGCTGACTTGAGTTAAAACCCTGGCTAGGTTATCTGCAGAAGCGAAGAAGGATGAGGCAGTGAAGCACGCATTAGCAGTTCGTGCAGCTGTGACATCGGGAAACTATATATTGTTTTTTAGGCTATACAAAACTGGTCCGAATTTGAATACCTGCCTAATGGGTAATATATTTCACAGACCTAATAATCCAAGAACTAAAAATCACACACCCAATTACCAAGAGGTAAAAAGAAAATCCTTAGGTTATTTTTGCCATTTTTCTGATTGAATATTGGTGTTTGGCAGATCTTTATGTTGAAAAAATGCGGTTTGAAGCTGTGAGATGCATGGCACGCTCTTACCGCCCGACCCTTCCTGTCGCATTCATTGCACAGGTTTTGGGGTTCATGAGCGGGAGTGATGATAAGGATGTGGAAGGAGTAGAAGAGTGTGAAGAATGGTTAAGAGCACATGGTGCAAGCCTTACTTCAGATAATAATGGGGAGTTGCAATTAGATGCAAAGGTGATTTTGGAGTTCCAAATTGTTCTTTTTCCTGTAGTTTCATTTGGGAAAATCTGGCTTTTTGAAAATTGGAGATGTTTACAGTAGGTTTAAGCTCTCTTAGCCTAGTGGCATGGGGATATTTGTTTCAAGTTTGGTGGGAAATTTCTCCATGCTATTTGAACGTCTCATAAAAAATCTCACGAGATTCAAAGAAAATTTCTTCAATTTCGAAAGTTTTTCTCTCCTTTATTTTTTCTTGCAATTTTTTTGGAAGTTAAATCTATTTAAATGTATATCTATTGTACATAGAAAATACGAATTATAACGGAAATGATACATTTTGTCTGTGATTTGTTTATTTTTGTTATATTCTCTCTCTCTCTCTCTCTCTCTCTCTCTCTCTCTTTTACTTTATTCTTTAAGTTTCATTGGGATTTCACATTTGCTTCCTTGAAATCAGTGTTTGCCGACTTGGCATGATTCACTCGACTGCCGAGCCTGGAACAGCCCCCAACTCTGGGGGTGTTTATAACTTGGTTTATAATTAATTATAACAGTATCATTGATGTAATCTTTGACTAAATCAACTATAGAAAATGATTTTTAACTAGTTTTCTGTATTTCTATTTTGAAAAGCTTTTTTCTCATTGTTTATAGAACTTTTTAAGTTGTTTGCTCTTTTTTTTTTGTAGTTTTTTTTTTTCCTTTTTTCACTGATTTACATAGTTTTTTCGATTCTTTTGGGTCTTTTGGGTTCTTTGGGCTTGCTTGATGGAGACCCGGATGAGTCAACTCGGACTTTTCTGAGCCACTCGGATCACCCAAGGGGTGAGTTGCCCAGCCAAGCTGCTTCATCTTGCACTGCTTGAAATAACTGGAATTGTCAAGGTATCCCTGTATACTACCTTGAGAAATTCCCTGAGGCCTAGTGTCAATTGAATCCCTAGATTTTGGGTGTTGATTACTTAAATGAGAAAGAGAACGTCATTTGCTTATATGGTTATTGGAAATGCAGGCAACAGCTTCCAGTCTTTACATGCCGGATCCTGACGATGCAGTGGCTCATGGGGACTCAAGCCTTGCTGTTAATGATTTCTTGACCAAGTCATAGCAGAGCAATATACACAGCTGGAAGATGGAATGACAACTGCGACAAAAGCACAAGCCCAACTTGATTTCCAAGATATCAAGGAGTTGGGTGAGCCGCACTATGGCCTTAAATTATTTACCATTGGAAGGTGTGCTAATCTTCTTTGCCTCCGTTCATTAAGAGGAGACAATGCAGCATGAAATGAGTTTCAGGTTCCCCAATTTGGAGTTGTTCTATTCATTGGACTGCTCCCTTCCCTATTCATCGGGGCTGCCATGATAGGAAAGGACTTGGCAGCTTTGGGAAGGTCTCTCTCTCTCTCTCTCTCTTGATTAGCATTTATCAATGTAATGTGTTTTTTCCCTTTTTCCTGTTATTTTGGGATAAGTGGGGTGTTCCACCTGAAACCCAGGCGAGCAAAGACAGTAACATGGCACCCAACCCTCTGGAGTTTAAGCAGCCATGGACGGTTGAAGATAAGGTTGTATAATGGCATTTTTGCTGTATGCTACATTGTGAAGGCGTTGTTGAGGCAGCTCCAAGTTAAATATAATGAAAGTGTATTAATCATGTGTTAAACTGATACATGTTATGCTTACCCCCAAAAAAAACTGATACATGTTATGAGTTATGACCACAAGTTTTTCCTCCTTTCATATGCATTAATAGAGCAATCATTTGTCCAAGAATCCCCATGTCACCATTTGAAGCTCAAGACCAACTTGAAAATTCAATTGAATTGGATGGAAGGGTCGGATGATAAAGTGAGTTTCTGTGAGACAAGCTCTTCCCAACATTTCCCAACATAAAATTCGGGATAAGCATTTGGCGGATTAGCTCAATCATGCTCCGTCGTTCAAGGGATTTAGGACCTCTCATTTACTGGAAATCCATTCCCACCTCAATTCCATGACCTTAGAGCTCTGAAATACATATTTGATGATCTTTGAAGAGAATTGAAACGGATGGTTCTTAAATAAATACTAAAATTAATTTAGGCTCAATCGGCAAATTTTTTTTTCATTTTCTGTGTTAATGGCTGCGGTGCTTTAGATGATGAACCTAGAAAATTTTGGGTTTTTGAGAGGTTCGATTCATTGCGACATCAATATTACAGGATCATCCCAACTACACCGACCCTTGAATCAATTGCTAAGCCGCATGTGGACCTTATCCTAACATAGATCTGTTATATGTACGCTATTTTTCGAGCTTTGGATTTTATTATTAAGAGAAAAATTAGGATTTTAAAGCCAAGAAACTGCATCTTTCGGCAACTTTGGACCTTTAAAATTCAGTGCCGTCCAATCAGGATGGACGATTCAGGGCTGCTGTCCATTCTGTTAAAGAACTATGCACCGTCCATTTGCATCCAAACAGTACACAAACAGGTACCATACTTATCCAGCTTTTTTTTTTCTGAAGGGATTATATAGCTCTACATGGACATTAATCCCTACAGTATGCATGTTCTAATTGCGTGTCAACTTTCCACTAGAAACTGATAATCACATAAATCATCCTTTTTACGGAATATTAACCCTCCAAAATCCAAATAAACGTTGTAGCTATACAGACAGCACCTCAAAAATTCATTGGAAAATGTTGTTTTGATGTTAGACACTATTATATTTTTATTTTTTTTGACAATAATGTTAGACCCTAAAATTTTTTTGGACAATAATATTAGACCCTCTAATTGATCGTCTCGACATTGAGAAGCATGCAAATCGGGAAAAAAAATAAGAAGAAAAAAGATTTCCAATCCCAAAAATGGTGTATCTTGAAACACATTATTTAGACCGTACCTTTTGACGATTTTCACGTGTTTAAAGATCTACTTAATTTTAACCACCAAAATTACATGTTATGATAAAACTAGATTCTTTGATCAAAATTACAAATTATGATAGAATTTAGAGGTGAGCCTTACTTTTGATTGTTTAGACAACTTACGCAAATTACCCCCTTTTCTAAAATAATCTATTGACGGTCGAGGGTGGGATCTAAGTGTTAGGGAATTAAAATTCAAAATTTATCTTTTGGAAGTAATCATCTAATGTTTCTTACGTGCCTCCCAGAATTTTCCATCAAAAAAATCCTCGTAGAATGTTTTCTGCCTTATATAGTATACCCTTGAAGGAGCATAATATACAAATTGAAAAGGATTGCATTTAGTGGCCCCACACTACAGTCGCATGGATGCAAGACTTGCCTTTTTTATATACTTGTGTTAATTTAATGGTGATCATTTGGGGTCTCATATACATGGGTGTGGGAAGGTTTCATAAGATCATTACTCTATATTTATTTATAAAATTTAAAGCTTAAAAAATATTGTAGATCGACAGATATATAAAAACTTAAAAATATTAAAAATTGACGGCCCAAAAATGTATTACAAAATATACTATTTTCAAAACTTGAAATCTATTTTTTCTCATATTTATTCATCTTGATGTAGAGATGATCGATTTGAAGATATTTGGGCATCCATACAATCTCTTATAATAACATTTTTGATGTAGTGTCAAATTTGATTGTTTACAGCCTCGGCTCTATATAAACTTTTCCCTTTGTTAATTAGTTCTTGTGTTTTGCTTTGTTGATGCTGTTTGATTATGCTCTTTTGTATTGTGACAATAAAGTAAGCATTGTTATTGGATTATTAAAAGTTCCAACAAAAAATTATCCAGTATTACTAATAAGGCTATAAAATTATTATTTAATGGCTTTAGTATATCTATACAATAACTGCAAATCATGATCCTATATTGTGTCATCTTTACATATCCAATTTTTTCATTACATTTTTTTGAATCAAATCTAAAATACTCACAATTCTATAACTTAACTTATTTTTTGACGATCCGTATTTTTAACCCGATTGTTTCCTCTAAATTTTTGAAATAAAATCAATTTATTACAGATGTTTTGGTGTGCTAATAATTTATTATTCTCTAAATAATGTAAATTATGAAGGACATGGGTGTAATTTACTCATTTTCTATAACAAAAAGAAAGAAAAAAAAAAAAGGCTAGGCCAGGGCTAGGCTAGCTCTGCCCTGGCTTTTATTTTGTAGGGCTAGGTCGGTAGGGTGGAATGGACCCGGACCCGACCCGAGACCTTGAGGGATAGACTCAATCAAGGTTTAAGAATGAATTTAAAAATTGGACCCGACGGATTGGGTTCGGGTCCAAGAATACCATTTGGGTATAGGTCCAGGTCTAGTCTGGACCAATCCGGTCCGGTCCAGCACTATATTTTTTGGGTCGAGGTCCAAGTTTGGCCATTTTAGCCAGCATTTGGGCCAGTTTTAGGGTCAGAACTGCCAGGTCCATCATCCACCAGTCCGGGTGGTCTATTGACAACCCGACGTAGAGGAGGACCCATCGTAATACCGTTTATCTTCTCTCTTCTAAAGCAATGTAAGGACCTCTGTCTCTCTCTCTCTCTAGCCTTATCATCAGACAATCACATACCTCTCTAAAAACCTCATAGTTTCTCTCTCTAAAACCCACCCATCCATGGCCCTCCCATCTCCCCCGATTTCCTTCCCATTCCCCGTCTCTCTGAACCCTCCCTCTGCAAATCGCCTCGCAATCTCCCCAGCCATCACAGCAACAAAGGCCCAACAAAGCGAAGAAAGCAGCGGCCCAGATGAAACCCTAAACCCAACTGATTCAGAGTCCGGCGACTTCGATACCCGCCTCTCGCAGGTCCGGCTCCGCTACAGGAGCGGAACCGGCAAGAAAGCCGAGGTTCGAAAGGCCAAGAAGGGAAAGCAAACTTCAAAGAAAGCGGGGGTTTTCCTGCCTCCCGTTCCATTGAAGGAGGCGGTTTCCGGCGGCTTGAAGGTCGATTTCGGGTTCACTTCTTACAGCGAGAGGCTCAACGGGTGGCTCGCTTGTCTCGGCCTGGTGGCTCTGGTTTTGGTGGAGCTGGGTTCGGGTCAGGGCTTGTTGAAGTATCACCCGGGGCCAGTAATTTTCTTGCAGGTTTACACGGTTGCTGCTGCTTCTGCGTTGTTTGTGAAGTTTGAGAAAGAGAAAATTGGGGTTTGGCCTGAGAAGAAGGATGTTAATGCCTGAAAAACTCTTCTTTCTCTCTCTACAAAATGGAGGATATCTATCCTTACTGCCTGGAATTTTGGCAATTCATCGTCTCTCTTGTGAGAATGTAATATGGTTTCTCTCTGTAACTCTATAAACAGAACATTCTGTTGCCTGAGTCTCTTCTCTCTCACTCTACAAAATGGAGTTTTTTTTGTTTTTTTTAATTGGAACAAAAATTTATATAAGGGTGAGGTTCTAAACAATAAAATGGGGCACCTCAAAGAAGAGGTTGATTTAATGTTAAAAACATCTCAATTTGGTAATTTTTTTTTAAAGATATGTGTCAAATTTAAGGATGATTTTTCAAAGTCCTAAACAAACGAGTATGAGAAGGTCTCGTATGATCACTACTAGTAAATATAAAAGCATATTTTAAAACTATTATAAAAAGTTTCAATATTAAAACCACATTTCTCGAAATTATTTGATTGTTTAGAGCCTAGGCTTTGTACGCATTAACAATTGAACCAAAGTATATGATTATTTAAAAAAAAAAACCACAAAATGATCCATTATAAAATTAATGTTTATTAAAAGAAAACACAAAGATCTAAATATATAAAATAGTTGTCTATCCAAAATGCAATATTATATACTCCAATGAAATTAAAAAATAAAAGGTAAAATATGAAATTAATCAAACTTTTCTATGCATTAAAAACAAAACAATAACATGCTTAAGCAAATTTGAATCTCGCACTGAATTTCTAGCTCTTTTAATCTTTAATATCATTGAATCTCTCTTGCTTTTTTATAAGGACGCTATGGGTTTAAAGAATTTTTTTTTTTTCGTTGGGTTACTCTTCCTCTAATTCTATCTATTATTTTAAAATATGCGATTGTTTTGATTATTTTTTTGGAGAATATATTGCTTGCATTTTTTCTCATAAATTTTTTTGGGAACCCATTGGTGAAATTTTGATAGAATGTTTTATAAAATCAAGATTCTTAATGTACTCTCAATGTTAATGTACTTCTCTTTAAACCAAATTTCAATAATATTAAGTTAATGAAAAGTAAAGTTATAGGGAATAATTTTTTTGAAAAAAAATAAAATATATATTTATATCGGTTTCATTAAATGAACACGATTTTTTTAAGATCTTTTGAAAAACTAGGAGTTTTTAACTGATTTAAAAAATCTGAGATTTTTTTAAAATATCGTGCTTTAAACAGTAACTTGCTAACTGTGGTTAAACCCGCCTAAATACTCCAAGCATCTCTTTCTACTCTTTGATTATTATCATGGTTGATGATAACAGTCAAGGAAGAAACATAATGGTTATTGTATTTTAATGTGCAATGTGCATATTTGTTTTCGGTTGTTGATGAAGATGCTGAACTTATTTAAGCATTTAAAACAGGGAAAGTATATAATGAGACCATTTATATTTGTTGCAAAGTGGCCATAATTAATATTGATTATTGGATGTGAAATTGGGTGGCTGTATTTATTTCATTAATTAAGCTTAAAGTTCAAAATAAATTTTTATAAATTTTGTGACACACCCACGGTTTTAGATTTTGTAGTCGATAGTTATAAGTAATTGTAACCTCATTATAATAAAGATAAATTGTGTCATTGTATACAATCCTTTCAAAATACGGTGACAAAGGAGGACAATAGGAAATGGTCTCAGGCCAAAGAATTTGTAGCGTATCTATTATTCATTTTTAATGAATACACCTCTGAGATTCTATTGGAATGTTTATTTATATATTCTTTTGTCATTATGGTTGTGGTTTGAATAAGGCTGAGGCCCCAAACAATCAAAGTAAGGTGTACCTTCAAAATAGTGCCGAAATATGTTGTTTCACTATCATAAATCTTTGTGATGACTTGAAATTTATTGTTATATCTAATTATAAAATTTAAAGATTAAAAAAATAATGAAAATCAAGCTGATCCATGAAAACTTGAGAATTTTGAAAATTGATGATCTAGATAATACATTACAAGATGCACTATTTTCAAGACTTGAAATCTATTTTTTCTCATGGCCATACATATTGAGGTCGAGATGATCGAATTGAGGGTTTTTCAACATCGAAACAACATTTTCTAGTGAATTTTGAGGTGTGTGACTCAATTTGATTGTTTAGGGCCTCGCCCTTATAAAAACTTTTTCCTTATTTTGTTCTTCTCATTACTTTATTGATATAAAGACAATCAAGCTTTTACTTATTGGGAGCATCTTATAAAACTTCTTCGGAGCTTCAATTCCTATATTATTTTGTATTTATTAAGATTGCATGGTTTAGAGGAATACACGTTCGTACTTAATCTACACTATCTTGATTATTTACTTCATTCAATATTGTCAATGATACACTTGCATCCCATGGTCTCTAGAAAATTTATTTTCAAAATTTCTTAAAGAGAACTATATTTTTAGTGCTTAATAATATACAATCATTTTAAATAATTAAAATTTTGAAAACTAATAAAAAATTTACTTCTATGTTTTTATTTTTTAAAATTATTTCCTGGCGTTTTCATAGTTTTATTAATATAATTTTGACATTGTTTCATGGATAAAATTGTACAATAGCCTTAAATGAATTGCATCCTAAGATTAAAATAGTATATGCCATATGTTTAGTGGCAGGTTCTCCCTTATGTTACTCGAAATTATTGAAGTGTTACAGGGAGTTATTTAGATAGACAGAGAGCTAGACAAAACAAAATTTATGCCACTCAAATGCTAAGCAATCTTACCCAAAAATAATAAAAAAATAAAAATAAAAATAAAAATAAAATAAAGATGCTAAGCATACCCCATAAAGTATATTAAGAGAGAGGGGAATAGAGAACTTCCTCATTATATATATATATATATATATATATATATATATATATATTAGGTATTGTATACAATTAGACCATTTACCTTTGATACAAAGTGGTCACAATTATTTACAACCATCCGATGCGAAATTTGATAGCTGAGGTGTGTCACAACATTCGAGAAAATTTGTTTTAAAGTTTGAGCTTGGCAATGAAATAAACACAACCGCCAAATTTCACATCCAATGGTCAAGATTAATTGTGACTCCGTTATACTAAAGGTAAATAGTCCCATTCTATACTTTTCCTCTTTTTATTTCATCATTCTATCTTTTACATTTCATAGGAGAGTAGTACTCATTTATCCTTTTTCCCAACGATTCTTGTTGATTTATGTCTATGCAGGCACTCTTTTCCCATTTATTGAATATTGACATTGTTTACAATTGATTAATGATCAGTTCCCTTACGGCCTTTGTATCTTTAATACCCAGTATATTTCTTTTCATGATTATTGACACAAAATCTCATATATTCTAATAGAAAAGTTGATATTTTCATTTTCTTAATGTAATATAAACCTCACGTGAACAGCAAGTCTATTTTACTATTACAGATTAACATACTAAGCTCAAAAAAAAAAAAAAAATTTCATTTTCTCAATGTAATATAAACCCCACTTGCAGCAAGCCTATTTTAGTATTATAGATAAATGTACCGAGCTCACAAAAAAAAAAGGATATTTGCACTACTGTTCCTCAACATATATTTTGTTACCAATGCAATCTTAATAGCTACAACTTCTCCATCACTCAATCATGGATTCCATAACCCCTTGCCAACTTCTGTGCGACTTTGGAAAGCTCTTACTTATTTTCATTCAAGAACCAAGTCAAAACAAATGGACATGGTTTCTATGAGTCTATGTAGAAATGAGTCGAGTCTTAAAAATCTATTTTTGAGATGAATTTTCGAACCCAATTTTTATGAGCATGTAATCTCTACCATGGAGACCATCAATATAAATAAATAAATAAATTTTCAAAAAATAAAAATAATGATTTTACGAAGAAAACATTTGGACCGTTTGTTTCAATTGTTTTTAGATAGACTGCCTATTTGCATCCATTTTTAAGATGGATGTTTTATATCTTGGGACCGCATACTGTAGAAATGCAGTCCAGCATGAAACAATTTTCCTTAAGAAATTATGATGTTTTGTTGAATATACAGGGTTGGGTCATGAGTATGCCAGAATAGGCCAAACATCAAATTTAAGTGTTACATGACTAATATATTAGAAATAATTAATTGTACACCTAATCGTGCCCCTTGTCTCTTAATCCATTGATTCTTTGTAATCTTCATTAGCAGTTTGCTAATTGCAAAACTGGCTATGAATGTTAATCAAGATGATTAGGATTAGTGGGTTCTATTTTTTGGGCTTGAAGTATGTTTGTAGTTTATACACTTGCATATGTCCTAGATGAGAAAATCAATAGACAACAATATCTTCGATACAGGAAGGTAAGAATCAGTTTTGGCTGTTTGATGCAATGTTGTCAGATTCGCTTTGGAGTGTTTATAGGTTTAGTAAGAAAAATGAAGCAATCCGGTGCTTCGGCCGATTCAGGAGAAGACTTTGGACCTTTTTTTAAAAAATATATATATATAAATAAATTAGATATTTAGATATAAAAATAATGAAAAAATGAATTTTTTTATTTTTATTTTATATATATGTTTCTTTGCTTAGGCCGCAGAAGTTGAAGCTTCAGTTGAATCGGTCCGAAGCAGACCCCGATCTAACCGAAGTGGAATTTGACTAAAACGACAACACCAAAGCTTTGCTTTGCTTCAGTCTAGGCCTAAAATCTGAAGACTTCGGCTTCTTCGGTTGAAGCAAAACGAATTTGACAACAATGGTTCGATGTAACATCGAGTTCCTAGGATTATATTATGGAAATTTTTTATATAAGGTTGCAACCTTAAATTGTAGAATTACAGAAGCACCTTAAAGATCCATCGAAAAATGTTATTTTAATGTTGAAAAACCCTCTAATTGATTACAACACTATTTCTCTAAAAGTCGCTTATATCTTGCAGGATTATTACGAATGTTTGCATTCCTTGTAAGGAAAATGATGAGAATAAATATCATATTTTCTTTCATTGTCCTTTCCCTTCTCACATCTGGGTATGGGTTTTTCAAAAAATTAGACATATGATAGTGGTGCCGAATAGTCATATGAATATTTTGGGTAGCATGGAGTTGGATTCTTTACCAATGGTGGACAAGATGATTTGGTAGATGGTAAGAGCTGTTGTTC